GAAAACCACAAAATTGTTAATTTCAAAATGATTATCGACCTATATTATAAAGCCATACAACATTCTTAACTGTGTTGTCAGCTAACAGTGTTGTTAAGACATGTGATTGGATGTTCAATAACATCATTCTTACGCCGGCCCGTGTGTCGCAGTTGAGTTGAAGCTGGACTGCGGTACTAAGGGTCCTTGGTTCGAATCCGGCTACAGGAATGGGTATGTAAATGTGTAGTGGGTTAGGATGGTATAGAGCAGGCTTAGCTGAAACCCCGCCCACTCAATACTAAAGACAACAAGTTAAAAAAGTAATCGTAAACGATTTACAAAAAGCGCGTTTCCACTTGCATTCATTTCTCATTTGTCAGATAAAACTTCTATTAAAATCGTAAAAATTCGGCCACAAATATGAAAGATAGCGTTGCATATGTGCAATCCATTTTTCGCCATTGAAGTTTCATACCCCAAGTTTATTGCAATTTAATCTGTTTTATTGATATTATCGAAGATATTGATATCATTGAGTTGAGGTTATGCCACAAACTGATAGTTTAGTTTATAATATTGTTTTTTCGATAACTACCTACTATACATTATACCTACTACAAACAAGTTGAAATAATTCAAGACATTTATATGCTCTTACTTTATAATCAATTTTTTATATTAAATTATGCTAGTTTTGAAGTGCTATTATTTCTATTTGAAGAGTTTTTCAAAACAAAAAATATGTATTCCAAATTTCTGTAATATCGGGCAAAAAACAAAAAATCTAAAATCCCATTGTTGTTACTTCAACTACACCAAAGTAGCTATATTGCATTTAATCAATTATGTGGAAATTGATTGATAATTTTACCCAAATTGCTAAATTAAAATTTTATTTATAGCAAAAAGAAATCTAAAAGGGCAATTTCTTTGAATCATAATCATTTTTTAATAAATCTTTTTTATCAAATAAGTTTATTCAGCCTTTATTTTTCTCTTATACAAAATAAATTAAGTTTACAATAAACCTAATTTGAATACAAATTTCAAATTGACTAGAATATTATCAGGCTAATTGTAAAGTTAAATGGACGGATAACACACAAAGATTTGTACTAATTTTGAATAAGTAAACGAAATGAAGGTAGCTAAACGATGGAGGTGTTTGGATAACAAAACATTTAATTAGCTTATTGCAAGAGGAGCAATTCAGTCATTCTCTAAACACTTCCAAAGCTTTTCGAGTTAATTTGTCGCCGTGAACTATGTGTGAAATAAAACTAAAGCTTTATGAATTAATAAAGAGGAGAACGGAAAATGGTCATGTTTGCTGTATGTTTAAATGAGGAGTTATGAATAATACGATATATGGCACTATGAATTTTATTGAATTATAATGTAGTTGACAATGCTGTGAACTAACTAATTTAAATTTGTAAACTACAAACAATGGTACAAATATATATAATATGCTCACGTGTACCAAATTTTGTAGAATGTGCATATTTCAAAAACTGTAAATGTGTATAAATAAAAACAGCAACCCGTTTTACCAAATTTAAAGGTACGAACATCTGTAAATAAAAGTAATTTAGGTAAATACACTGTAGTACGTATCATATAGATACCTAACTGGATGGAGAGGTAGACGTGTAAATTACCTAAATTTTATAAAATTTCGTATGAGGATGAACAATAACAAAAGAAACATTCTACGATTAAATTTGTTAACACAATCACAAATCGTGCAAAAAATACTCACTAGTATGGTAACTAAGTATAAATCAGGTAACCCTGAAACCATATCACACCTCACATCCATCTCCATTAATAAGGTATACCTACACCATTAGCCCCATAAATTACTTACATCTACAGTAAAACTTATTTATCTATTTTTTATAGGATTTTCAACCCTCAGTTTCCTACAGCTAATGACTAAATGATCGTGATGCAATAAAACAACATATATATTATACAGGAGATGCACTAAAAATATTGCACCTTCTAATTGATTAAAATTTTCATTAAAAAAACGGCAATTATTTCCATCGTTAGGATATTAACGAAAATATTGAACATAAAAAAATAAAGGATTTAACAAAAGTAGTAACAAATATTACGATAAACAAATTGAATACATGAAATGTTTCTAGCTAAAAATGTATGGCCGTCGCAATCACATTTGGTTGCTGATTTTGTAAAACACACCAACAAATAAAGCAACATCGGTTATATATGTATGTAACGAAGTATGCATAATAATAACGTTTCAATGTGGCAGATCAACAACCAAATCGTTGCATTAAAGTCAGTTGTGAGTATCACAGCAGTAGTAAATGTTGTACAGAAAAAGTGTATTTATAAAAAGTTTTGAGGCAACTGAACGGAATTTATCTACTTTGTTAACAGGTGGCTTTGATTTTTCATTCTGTGATAAAGCGTATATTATTAAATCGTCGAATAGTAGATGCAGAATATAACATTTGACGTAATGTCCTATTCTCAATAAAACTATATCAAACTACAGTGATCACATACATTTAGACAATGAAAACTATGCTTTGTGTATGACTTGGTACCTTTTAACTTGCCGTTAACAATCGTTTTTGTAAATAATCTTATATTTAATATGACTCCAATATGCACAGCATTGATCAGCGAGGGAATGCCACAAAAATTCTACGTCCCGCATAGATTTCTATATCTACTACTTCCAGCTCCAAATTCATAATTAACAAACTTAGAATCTACTTTAAATCTAGTATGTACTCATAGTCAACAAAAATAATTTTTTAAATATTAACATCGTCTATACAAAGTGAATCGATTGATTAACGGCTACGTTAAAACATTGTCTTGCACAAGTCCAAACATTAACAATATTAACAACATGCGATAACAACAATATATAATTTTCAGTTATATTTTACCTTTCCATAGGATTTCTTTTATATAATTATATAGATCTATAAGAAGGAATAACAGTTCAAAAGTCAGGTGATAAATAGAATGACTATGTCTATGGCTATATACAATGTCATGCTCGAGTTCACAGGACTACCGATACCGACAGGAATAACTCTTCCTCTTACAAATTGCATAATCGTTATCAAAATTTATTCAACTTTTACTAGATAAAATTTTAACAGTTTGCACATGTGAGGCAAGAAACAGGTACAAGTACTTTTAGACCGAAAACGCTCCACACAATGTACTAGTGTTGAATAAAACTTGATGGCGATTATAATCGCTTTAAAATTATGATTTTTATTAAAATCTCTCATAAAAATAATTGTCTCCCATTAAAAATAAACATTAATTTTGTATATGAATAATATTTAAAATTGATTTCTCATTACAGGGCATTCCCAATTCTACTCTAACTTTAAATTAACCTTAAAATGGAAAAAGGAATGTGCAAGTTCTACTATTTAAACAAACAGAACACCCTGTATAATATGCCAGTTACTTTGCTATACTTGTAAATATAATTTTAACGTTTGTAATGACCGTAATAGAAAATAAACTGACATAATTCGTGTAAAGTGAAGGTACAGATACCAGAGCTAGTAACAAAGATTATCACAATTTCAAGTTTACGCTAAACTTTAATGATTACGTAATAATAAACTTTGTAACAATTTCTTAATAAAATATAATAATCAACGCAACAAGTAAGAAAATAATGACAATGTTTAATGTTTCCCTCAACAAATATATACAAATCAAAAATTTTATATAAAAAAAATAAACATCTCCTAATAAAATATTTACAGAAACAACAACAAAAGAAAGATGATTATCACGATTTCGGGTACTGTTCGTAACAGTAATTTAAAATATGAAGATTGATTTTGAAAAAACGTTATTATACAACTAATGATTTCGCTACAATTAAAAATGAAACACGAACAGAATTAGTAATTTCCATTTTCTGTACCTGCATGGATGGTCGGTGATGGTGAACTAGGTTCATGTTATCACTGTATGCCGAGCGTACTTAGAGTATTGTTGCGTGCACGTTTGAGTTCCTCTTCGGAGATGCGTTGCTCGATGAGATATTGTGCGGTGTTAATCGCGTTCGGGTTCCCGGTAATGGTGACGATACGATTGCGTGTTCCTGGCGCGAATATGCCCTTTTTGGAAATTTGTATATTGGCACCGCTCATGTTTTGAATTTCGACCAGGGACCGACCTCCTGGACCTGAAAAATTAAATTATTTGTTCTAGAAATTACCGTCTATTTAAATGTTATGAACTGTGTATTTAATCATTTGGTGGTAAATGAACGCGCATGAATTTTATTTTGCAAAGTGAAGGGAAGCGTTTATGCACATGCAAAAAATTCAGGAAAAGTTTGACTTTCTGGGATGTTACCATTTCTTACTACCCATGTAAAAATGTAGAATCCAGTGAACCACCATTTCTGAAATTTGACCCACCGTTATTTTTTAAATGCAACAACCTGTATATTTAATATCAATTTTTTTGTCCTGATTCATTGATGTATCACAACCTATATTTTTTTAAGTAGGCCATGGATTCATGGAGATTTTGTTTTGTTTCATTATGGTAACTAAGGCAGCCGATACAAAACAATAAAAATGAATGAAACATCCATTGAAACCAATCAATAAAAATGGTTGACAGTATACAGGCTGTTTCACGCACACCGTTACCTAAAAGTATTCAGACTCCCATTCATAATTTCAATCTGCAAATTTGCTACCAACATAGTTTTTTATGCTCTATCGAAAGAAAATATTATCATGATCATTTCACTTCCGGTATGGATAGCAACTTTCTTATTTTAAATAGAACACCCTATATTTTATTGCATTTTCGAAATCTACATGAAAATCTACGTCATTTGATACCACATTTCCCTATACCTAGCATCAAAGGTTTTCAAGTTATTCAGGATTTTTCAAAAATTTTGACTGCTGTTCTTTAGCGCCATGTACCTATATAGTTTCATTTTTCCATTTCTCTTTTTGTGATAGATGCTATGAAAGCTGCCGCAATGAAACGCATAATACTGTACTTCATAGATGGATCTATCTCACTTTGTTTACCACCCGCACTTAAGGGAGGTATTGCATTGGGGCAAAAAATGACCCCCTCCCCACTTTTTTTTACGGAAATACACGTTTTGAAACACCAGGAATCCGAATCAAATAAAATCTAGATGATGTCGGTCTGTCAGTCCGCCTGTACACTCAATTCCGGCTGCACCGATTGGAACCAAATTTGGTAAAAACATTCTAAGACATAAAAGGAAGAGCTGAAAAGCTATTGACCAAAATCGCGCATGCACAAGTGTGTCAAACTCTCATTTCCGACTAAACGGTTAAACCGATTGGGACCAAATTTGGTACACATATTCATAGGCATAAAAAGGTAGAATTCTTAGACCATATAGTACATGGACTGCTAATTGTAACTAAAATATGGTCAAGGACATCGCCTGGGTATGTGCGTTTCAGGGTAAACGAGTCTCTCCGAAGTTGTCCGATGAGACACGATTTGTGGCTGTCAACCTATAAATTAACAAATGTCAATTAATTAATTGCCCAGATATGGCAAAAAAAGCAAACCTATTCTAATTTGTGGACGTATAGAAGATACTCAAGAGTATTTAAAGCTTCCTGTACTACGTGGTTACCATAAAAGCTACTCTTTACGCGATCCGAGTGGTGTTTACATGACTTTAGTTTACCCTGAGATTCACATACCCACGACTACAGTAAGTAAGGTAGAATTGCGCATGCGCAGGTGTGCGGTTGGTATCTGTGCTAGCCTCAGCAAATTTTTTTTATTTGTTTTGAAAATTTCAATAGCAATGTATCTAATGAAAAAGATATAGGTAGTCGACCAGCATTTGATCAAAACAATAAATTTATATACCAGGATTTTCCTTAGTTTGCGCGCACTTCATCAATTCGGTTTTTTGGGGAATATTGTACGGTCAGCCGACACAACTGTTGAGTGTGTTGGAGACGTTAGTAATAATTGGCACCACAAATTTGGCGTAATCATAACCTAACATGTGTTTTGTAAAGTTAGTGTCAACGGCAATTAAGCGATTGAAAAAAGATGGATAAAAAACCTGGTATGATTGTTTTGAAAGATTATGTTATCATAAATCCCTTTTGCACGTTTTAAAACAGAAAGACGTAAGTAATGGTTCCAAAAGTTCCTTAAGAAAAGTTGTTGAGAATATTGGTTTCCACTATCAAAAGGACAATCCAAGAATGTTTAATGGAGTTACCCAATATTGCACTATCAAGAGTTCATTTGATATAATGGGTATCTTACCCACAATGCAGCACTGTATGGCTGCCTACATACATATTTCTCATCGATTGCATGATGCTATGTCAACATACTTAGTGATGACGTCATATTACACACAAACAAAGGAAAATCCTACGATAAATAATTTGTGATGTGTTGCGTATATCAAAATTTAGTAATAGATAACTTACCTAAAATAGCACCAACTATCACTTCGGCAATTTCTACATTTTTAGTATCCTTCCCTTGCAATTCGGCGGGGGTGGGGCTTTTATTCAACACTGCCATCTGTTGACCGGTGCCTAACCCAAAACTATTGTTATTTATAGAAATAGGAGCGGTAGCCGGAGAACTCGGATGCCGGAATGGATCAAATGCAGTTTCGTACCTTTCAAGATTTGATCTTGGTGTAGGAGATGTGGCACCTAAATAAAATTTTATATTGTAACTGATCATTTATTGTGATTTGCGAACCTAAACATTCTCCGAGACTAACTTGTCCGATTGGTCCAAACACACCCGAGTTGGCAGTCGCAGCGGTCGCTTGCTCCATGACACTAAGGTAATTAGATACTGGCAAACCGCCGGCGTGAGCTCCTCCCAAACCCAATCCCATCGCAAGAACACCGTATTTGGCTAACACAGAAATTGCGGCGCAGATTTCCACCATTTGTGAATCTGTGTATCCCGAATTCCGTAACGTCAACTGTTAATAATTTCGCGTAATATAATAGGTACCGGCGTGTCTGGACTCACCTTAATATTGTCAAGCACTTGTGCAGTAACCGTGCCCATATTTTGGCCGGGAGCATTCAGGTTGAGATTGAGATTTAGACCTCCGTTTAGCATCAAACCTTGCGACATGGAGCTAAGACCGCTATTAAGACTAGTTGTAGATGCATTGAATGCGCTGCTTGTATTTTGAGCATAAGGCGAACCTGTAGGATTGTAATTTGCAACTGGACCATTAATATCAGCATACGATACATTTAAACATGTACCACTTTGTGGATCTTCTACTACTTTTGCTAGAATCATCATACACGCTTGCTTATTTGCTTCTTTCTCACCTGAAAGCAACACAATAAAGTAGAGACAGAGTTAAAGTACATAGCTTAGAAGAATTTGTAGATGTTATACATGTGCACACCAAAACTTAACATTTGCATAATATATTGTTCAAGGACAAACCTGCATTACTTTATCCAAATTTTCTGCATAATTATTATAAAATAATAAAAGTGGCACTTGGTGAGTGCCGACAGAAGTTAGTACTTCTTCCCCCTCGCCTTATATTTTTAAAAAATATAATAATTTGGTACATAGCTTCGGCGGCCTTGCCACAACAATTATTTCAAAAATTTACGACATAGCTTCAAATAATTTTAAACTCATTTTATTCACTCCGAAACTATTTAATACGCTTTAAATATACATGTTAGTTAATTTCAAAGACAATGCGGTACAGGTGAATACACCTATGTATATTATGCTTGAAGCGTCTCGTGACCCTGCAAAACTTACAGTCATACCGAGGGATAAGAGGTAGTCACTTCAATAGACATTAATTCAACAAATTTGAAATATACACACACTGCTAAAAATAAATGAAATTTACAGTGTATGATTACATCATACATTAGGAAAGAAAACATGTGGCCGCTTTAAAGTACAGAATTACTTTAGCCAAATGTGTTAAACTTGCAAAAAATCGGAATGTATGATTACAAGTAAATCAATTCTTTGACATATATTCGCTTAAAAATTGATATATGAATTATAAATCAGAATTAGGACAAAGCTAATTCTATTAATTTGATAAGATAATTCTTCTACTCAAACTATGCCGCCTAACTTTTTGCAACAAGCACACGAACACGATGTTCATATTTAGGAAGAAAACTGCATGCAAAATCAGATTTGTTATTTTCATCAGCTTGATAAAATGTATTTCAGCGGTAATGCTATTGCACTATCCACGGAGTTCAATTGATGGAATCAATAGGCAAAGGATATCAAAAACAAACAATTTACAAAAGTGTACAGAACTAAAAAAAAACTATATGGTACAGAATACATACAAAAGAAAAAGACACGCTACAAATAGCAGACAAAAACAAAAGAACCAACAATAGACCTATTGTTTTTATACAGGGTGAGTTTTTTCCAATGTTAAGCATGGGGACTCTAAAAACCAGCAACTAGAGAACAAGAGAAGTTATAGAGCAATGATATGTAAGATAGAAATAAAAATATGGTGCCTAAGAGCATCGATCAATCTAAAATCTGATGGGCATCTATAGAAATTATTTCTGAATGTACAGAGTGTCCCATTTTTACGGTGTGAATAAATAACTGATTTTTTAAATAGATCACCGTATATATTTTTAGTTATGTCCTAGGTTATGTCGATCTCATCTGTAGCTTCTATTGAAACCTATTCACTTTTTTATTTTTTGTCAATGTTGCCATGTTATTAGTTTTTTTCTAAATAACTGTCCACCCCACTTTAATGAATCGTAGCGCTAACCTACTAAAAACCAAATTAAATGAAATTAAACTTAAACAAGACATTAACTAACATTAAAAATATTACATCACACCTTTAAGATCAGATACTGAGCAAGTGTTAATTTTACATATATCATATTTGCGATTTTTAAAATTGCTTACCATAACGAATATTGGTGATTTACAAAGTAAGTTTGTATTGGCCCTAGCACAACTTACGTTCGTATATAGATTACGAGACAAAGGGTACATGGCAAGAAGAGAGAATTACTATTTTACTACGAAATAGAGAGTACACTTGCAACAAATATAGTATTTTACATTCTTAGCCAGGTAAGTGAGTTTTTACTGGCGATAGGAGAAGTTGACTGGCGAGCCGTCAGGCGAGCCTGTCATCTCCTAGAGCCAGTAAAAACTATTACCTGGCGTATAATGTACAATATTTTATTTGTTACTCATTTGTAAACAATAGTAAACGTAAATAATTAGTTCTTAAATTGATCTTGAAGAAATGTCTAAAATATCATGTGATCCATGTAACAGAGACTTCGCATTAATTCTGGCCAATGAAATTACTAGATTACTAACTTGTAAAATTTTTACACGTCAGCTGTCAGTTTTACAAGTCAGTAGCGTTTAAAGATGACGTTTACCCGTTTGCGTTTTGTCTTGTTAATCAACGTTTACAACTGAGTAACAAATAAATTAATTTGTGACGTTTGTTTACTTTCGGACATTCTTTTGTTTTTTGTTATCACGGCCTACTCGTGCATAAACATCTAATTACTTCATGGGCAGGTACTTTTGGGACGAATATTGAATCACCAAAAAAATACGAAGTTTAGACACAGGACTTTCCTTATAAAAGTTGAAGAGAACATAAAAGACTATCAAATAACGAATAAAATAGTGGTTTTAACAAAATGATTATGGCATTTCAAACTTTCTCATGATCAAAGTGTTGCCCTTTAGCTTTACTCGGATTAACATTCTCGCTCAAATTTATTTCTTAACTTCAAAAAACAAGAATATAATTTTTATAGAAAGTCGATATTCATATCTCATAACTGCCATCTTCAATTTATTTTTATATTATCTGTCAGTTTGTCTTAACGAACTGAGACAGTTTCATATTAAATCTTAAATGCAACTGTACCGGGTGACCCAATAAGACTGTTCCTCGGCCATATCTCGAGAACCGTTCGTCATATGACTTAGGGGTAAAAAAATTATTGGGTAAATCGGTCATGAAGAATTGCTGGAAAATATTTTCAAGTTCTAAAAATGACCACCAGAGGGCGTAACTGCCATCTCAAATTTTAAAATTGCATTTTCTTTAAATTTCGCATAATAAACTAAACACTCTTTTTTCACATCTTTAAAGAGAACTAGTTTATCTATCATTTTCGTAAACACAAAAACTCAGTTATTTCAAAAACAAATATGGTGTGGGGCGTTCAGTTGTTTTCGCAATAACCTGCTTTAACTTCTTAACCGTTTGACCGACTGTAACAAATTTGGTATCGTTGAAAAGAGCATTCCTTGGGCAATAAGAATCAAACCAAAATATAGTTAATTTAGTTGAATCCTTCTCCGCCAGGGGGCTAGTTTTGACACTATGACCCAAAATCCTAAAAAAATCAAATGGAATGATATGACTTTTTCTTTATGAAAAAGTAGCCAAATAACATCCAAAAAGGCCAGTGAAAACCGTTTTTCAAAATCTCGTTCCTAATCTCAAATATTGGGAAAATGAGATTAATTAATTAATTAATACAAATACTTAAATTGTATCTTATTTGACGTATTTCCGGTATCTGTCGATGGCGCGAAGGCTAATCCAATAGGAATATTCACATTTGACAGTCAGGTCACGGTCAGAACATGCTCAAAATTCGCTACAATAATTCACCAGACCGTGACGTGACCGATAATGTGAATCAGCCTTGAGTTTATTATGCGAAATTTAAAGAAAATGCAATTTTAAAAGTTAAGATGGCAGATACGCCCTCTGGTGGTCATTTTTCGAACTTGAAAATATTTTCCAGCGATTCTTCATAACCGATTTACCCAATAATTTTTTTACCCCTAAGTCATACGACGAACGGTTCCCGAGATATGATCGAGGAACTGTCTTATTGGGTCACCCGGTACAATATAATCCTAGATAAGAAATACGCACACACAGCCAGTTTAATAGTAACTCCCCTTTTTAAAGCTGTTAACTATGTCTAAAGTGGACACCCTGTACTGTATATACTCATGCTAAAATCAACTGAGTAGATATTCAGTGAGCTGAATGTGAACAAAAAGGGCCCTTGACCCAATTAAATACAAAAATATACGGGCACACATACCGTAAGGTAAGTAACATCAAAATAAAGTATTTGGTTTGGCATGTATTATTCAAATGTTTGTTTTGGCACACGCAAACGGCATTATACCTCTACGTGAAAGTATTACACACATTGTCAACATAATTAATATTGAAGGCGTCACACAACACGAAAAAAATTCATAATAATAATAAACCTACCTATCACAGTAATACATCTCTCTTGGAGAGACATGTCTTTGGCCTTTTGAGAGATTTGCACATAAGAACCGCTCGTCTCTTTAATTTGTTTTATATAATTACCAGCTTTGCCGATGATCATACCGGCCGTCGAATTTGGTACAAGTATTTTAACTTGCTTATCCCTATCTTGCATTAATTTACTATCTATACCGTCTACTAGTGGTTTTGTAAGGTCCGGCTTTTCCCTTATTTTTTCCATTATAAATTCCATTACAGCCATAATTGCGTCGATGCTGCCGGTTATGAGGCAGACTCGTTCTGTTGTACCTGAAACAAAAACATTGATTAGAGAAGTGCGGTTTGGAAAGTACAATCAATTTCTCAATAAAAAGGGGGAGACAAACACAAACTTTTCTATCGGTATTAATCAAAAAATAATTTTAAATTTCAACGCGGAAAATTTCTTGGGACAGCAAACATCAATGGAATCAACTGAGAAAGATCAACAACTCGAGTTAAACAACCACTTTCACACATGACCACCCTGTGTAAATATATGAAAATATTCCTTAATATTGTACAAGATTAGCATACTTTCGTTTACGCCTACGCCTGGAAAGTAAACAGACTTGTTTTAATGCTAATTACCATTCTTTTTAACAACAAAACATGACGATTATCGTCTAAAGTTCTCAAATATGAAAATATAGCAGTAATCAAACGGAGAACACGGTTCAAAATAAACGCAAAACATTTCCCTCATAAATAAATGGATCTTTTTTGGCAATGCATTTAGTTCTCTGGTGCTATAAACCTCAATACCATACCCTGACAATTAATTAGAGTAATCATAATTGCTAATTTAGTCGAATGGAATTGACCTCGAAACAAAGTTAAATGTATTTAAACCAGAAGTCTCTGATTTGAGAAAAGATCCCACAGCACTGCAGTTTTTAAGAAATTTTTGTAAAGTTTTGGTTTTACAACAGCAATTTGGATCTAATCAACGATAGTGCTTTTCTCTAACAATGTATTTAATTCACTCTTTTATAAATCATCATTATTGATCGATAGGCAACATGTCATTCGATTAGTACGCTAAATTTTAATTTTCCGTAGTAAAAATTCTTGTTATGTAAGAAATGCATCTCAATTCCCATACAAGTTCAGCGTCATTTCTAAAATGGTAAGATAAATCCTTGAAGAATTTTTTTACTGTATGCAAATTAGCAACGATGCCTGCTTTAGAATCGACCTGAGAGTACGAGTGTTAATGAAATGTAACACAAATAGAACTCACCACGTGGATTATTTATTTATGGATTTTATTTAAAACAAAGTAAACAGATTTAAAAACAATTGAATGATGTGTTGCCTATACAACAGAGTAGGTACTATTCCAGAATTCGCCTCGTAGGTGTACGTCTGAGGAAACCCCAACCAGAGGAGTCGACAGCGGAATTCGAATTTCGAACGCACAACCGCCCACGTACGTACCATAAAACGCAACAAAGTAACGGCTTCTTGAAGAGAAAATGAAACGTCTGGATGGAGATGTATCTGTTAGTGGTGGTTAATAACGGGCGATCAAAAATAAGTGGCGATCGTGTCGCCTTTGGAAGTTCAAGTCAAGTACGATTTCCCAAAGGTAACTCGACACCAACTCATTTCTGTCGCATAGTACTTTAAGTGTAAATTTCTCGAGAACAGCATGAGGGAGGGGGTGCTCACACTTCACATCTTCCGTTGAATGTACTCTTAGTTTGTGTAACTGACTGAAAGTGTTCTTAGTTTGTTAGGAGTAGTTGGTACCATTCCCATTGAGATCATATCACGGGTTAATCCGAGGGTTAATCTTTGTGAAAATTGTTGATTTGAATAGGAAAATTCCAATCATCACGCTAAAATTGTTTCAATTAATTATCTAAGCGTCTTCACGCAAATGGAAAGGGTTCTATTCTCTTTAGGGACGGTTATTTTTGTAGAATTCCTCTTTGTTAACAAGTGTCATTTATGTTATGTCATGTGTTTTAATCCTGGTTTTAATTTACGTGTTTTAATCCTGGTTTTAATTTACTTATCTTTGTTTGACCTATATTGCAATCCGAAACCCGTTTATTTATTCTGATTTAGTCTGATTTTGACCTTGTAGTTTTTGGATGTATCTTTCGTGTGGCGAGCATTAACCACTCCTTATCTATGAAGTGTCGTTCTCTTATGAAATGCTGAAACGAGTTCACCAATCTATAATTAATACGTCTACTAAGCTGGGACTCCTAACACTAGGTATTTACGATCAGACGTTCTGAAATACAATGTGTGAATTATCGGAGCAGTTACCAAAGTGCAGGTAAACTGTAATAGCTTTTGACGTATATTAATCCTACACTTCCCGCTAATAAATAATAAAATCAACCCTGACGCCCCAAACAGAATCATATTAATTAAGCTAAAGGAAAATTCCCATTAATGTAATTGCACAACTTCACTTGCAATCCCTAATAACGTACTTCATTGAATTTACATGAGTAATTAAATTACTGCGCATCTACATAATGAAAACATCTCGTACGCGAAATCTACAGTAAACAACAAATCTACCCCTAAATACGGCCCTTATCCAAACTGACACTTACACAATTATTGCGCAATTTTAAACAATGCAAATTTATGGAAGCAAACACCCTAATAAATCGACAAGCAAGTGATACACAACAATTTCTCTACATCCTATGCTAGTTAAAGTAATTACAAAGGAAAATTAAATGATACATTTTCCTATATGATGTATTTGCGAACCAAACAGATACACTGCATGATATCAGTGGCGTAGCTAGGGTTCTCTGGGCCCAGTGCGGATCCAAATTTCTGGGCCCCCAAAGAAATACGAAATATGTGTGATAACCTAATGGGAAACATTTAAACAAAAATAAGCTATATTTGGTTTAGGAAATTTATTTACAGCGTTTTGTGTAAAAAAAATACATTTAAGTTCTATAAACTTATTTTACGTGCTTTCGTATTAGCCTTTATTTTATTCGTATTGTAACGTGATTTATAAATTCGGGTTCGATTTATATCAATATTTATTAAACAAAACTAAAACACTATAAAAACTGTACAATTTATATCCACTATTTATATTACACACTTCGCAATTTATATCAGATTTTCGCGCTCAATGTTTCGTCCGTACTCGATCTCGTTCGGGTTCGGTCGTAAAACTGACTGCGATATTCGGTCCGCAACCATTTATACACGCAAGCAATGTAAGTCGAGAACACTCGCGTCATTACCAGATAAGTCTCGAATATTCCTATACAAATCCCGCTATCGCGCGCGTAGAAAATTCCAGAGCGCCAAAGGCGACGTCACGTGTGGAGCGTTTCCGTTACAGTATTTCTGCAAACTATCGATCAACCACAGATTTTCAAAAATCCCGGCCGCGCGGTTACACGGATGAATTATAGGGCCCCTTCATTTCAGGGGCCCGGTGCGGACCGCACCTACCGCACCCCCCTAGCTACGCCACTGCATGATATGTATGTACCGCTGCCTAAGCTAAAACATCGCCAGCGCCACCTTCTCCTTTTAGTTCGAACATGATGCGACACCTGGGCGTCGATTCCCGAAGATGTGCTTTGTTCACATCGACTGACCTTGATGTGAACGTGAATGTCACTGCATTCTCGAACCTACCACATCGAGCGAAAAGTTGATCGAACGCAACGACTGGTCTAGACCACTCGTTGCGTGAAAGTCATGCGCAGTTGCAGCTACAGGACGGATCTTGCAGCTGTTTTGCTATAGAGGTTATTCAGTGCCCTAACCTATAAATTCACATATTTTCTGTGAAATAAAACATGGAATTGTTCGAGGATTTTCTGGTTATTAATAGCAGTATCCATAATGCAAAAACAAAACAAAATACAAAACTGACAAATGACAGTTCAATTCTTGTCTGTGATTGGTTAGCGCATAAAGTTTGTCCACGATTCGGGAATGCAGCTAAACTTGAACTTATCCCTATCGTATACGATCATGACGTCATGGCAGCCGGTCACATCACATGCACATCACGGAGCATATCGACTAACTTCGGGAATCGATGCCCTGCTCGCGAACCTTCATCCTTGTGCAATTTGAATTGCTGTATCTACTTAGCGGTAAAACATTTCCAGTGGCGTAGCATGCGTTTTCTCCTGCATAAAAACGGGAAGAATAACATTCAAAATCTGTCAAATATGTCACATCACAGCATGTATTTAATTTATTGTTCGATTTAAAGGCATCTAGCAATTTAAATGCATGCGATTTTTTTTAAGTAAAGGTGATTTAGGTTTATATTTTAGATTGATTTTGAAAACCATAGAGCACGGATTTAAAATTCAGTTGTGTATTACCACAGAATAGTTGAATATTTGTACAGTGTGTTCAGAGAGAAGTTTACATTAGCGAATTACAGAGTCGATAATTTGATAGGATCGGGAAAAGCATATCCAAAAACGTGGTAAAGTCGATAATTCTATTCATTTCTAAGAAAAATAAAATGAGACACTTAACCTATGACAAACTAAAATAGCATGAAATATGCAATTGTAACAGTATAATAAAGGCATACAAGTAATTATACCATTTATTAAAAAACAAGTTACAGAAAAATGTATTTCTTTTTGTGTATATTTACTTTATCTTGTTTTTTGAGTTGTAATCGCGCATAATATCTGCACCAAACTGAAAAACTGGCGCGTTGCAGAGATGACTGCAGGGAAATATAAACAAGCTGAAATGACATTAAGGGTAGTATTTAAATTCCGTTTATACAGTCGAAAGGAATGTTGCCAAATCAAAATTGGGAGGCAAATTGGTAACGTAATTTATTCGCTTGCGTAATTAACATTAATTTCACTAATAATTTGATAGATCAAAGTATAGTTTAATAATAATTATAAATAACAGAAATTCTTAGAAATAAAAATTAGGCGGCAATGAATAATTCAAGACATTATTGTGCAACATGTAAAATGTTATTATCTAAGAGAAATGAAGTAAATTTTGAGGTACCTAGTACCTACTGAAAAGAAACAAGGTTGTGAGGTCTGGCCTCCATTGGAGATAATCAATACAGCTGACAAACACACTTTCCCAAGAAAGTGAAAATACGGTGGATTTCAAAACATTGAACGAACGTAAATTTTGAAATGAAACGTATTGTTCTTTAGCAATCATCGTAAAAATTACCTACCTACCGGCCGATTTCATTCACGAAAAAAGAGAAATTTAATATTTCAGTTTCCTGAAATCTGTATAACATCCCGATTACGCAA